AGGCTCCACAGAGCTCTGACTCCTCCTACCCCTTCATGTGGGGCCCAGGTTCTCTCCCACCTGGGGGTCATCATCCCCTCCTCCACCCCACCAGCTTCCAGTCACCTTCTTGGCCTCCAAAAGTGTCTTGCATTTTGGGCAGTAGTTGCTGCTTGTGGTGTTAGGGCTCATGATTCTCTTCCTTCCTCCTCTGCACTGGGGCTGCCTGTGCCGACTCATCCAGAACAGAAATTTGCCTGTGCGTTTAGACGCAGGGTGCCAGTTGTGCCAGTTACAGATCTGAAGCAACAGAAAAATGCCACTCAAAGCCTGTCCTAGAGAGAAAATGCTAAACTGGAAGGCACTGCGGAGGGCTCGGAACCCTCACTCTTCCACTGCAGAGAGGAGCCAGTGTGTGGGGTTAAGCAACATGTAGTCGTTCCACATGAGAGCCCCAGCCCTCTCCCCGACCAGGTTTCTTTCAGACCTCGTGGCTGCTTCTGAAGCAGCTGTATTCAGGGCAAGGATCCTTTTGTTACAGGGCACCCCAGTGTGAACTGGGCTGCCTGTCTGTGGGTCCTCACCTGCGCGCCTAAAATTTAGTTGGACTGCAGGCACACATAAAAGGGTCAATAATGGGTTTATTTACAAAAGGGGAACAACCCAGGGAAAGAGAGAGAGATACAAGGTAAATAGAATATCTTACCAGCTCAGCTAACTTGGAGCTCTGGTAACAACTAACTGAGAGCACCCAGTCAGGCATCTGGAGAGCCATGCCGGAGCCAGAGACTGCTGTAGCAAATGGCGTCCTATTTATCCCCCCAAAGTCCCAGAATGCCTGCTTAGCTTCGCCCTTGGGTCCTCGCAGTTCTCTCCCTGGTACTGCTGGGAGTTGTAGTTTCCAATCACTGGAATAGAGGGTAGAGTCCTAAAAGCTGGAGTAGGGGGTGGAGCCCACAAAACTCTGCAGAGTTCCTTTAGGACATCCTTCCCCTTAACACTTTCACTGGGCATTTCACTCCCTGCCCCTCAGCGGCCTGTCTCTGAAAAGGTCTTGCTCTGAGCTCACTGACCTTGAACCTGAGTCAGGGCAGCAAAGTCATTCTCTCTTCTTTACTCTGCACTGGCATCTCTTTGCCAAACCGGGGCTGACTGATTGCTGTTATTTGGAAAACAAGTGAGGAGACAGACGGCGGGTTAGCTTTCCTCTCCCTGACAGACAGTGCTGATGACCCATCTCACCTTGCCAGGTTCGACACAGAGGAGGAGGCGGTGGCCATTGCAAATGCGACTGACGTTGGGTTGGCAGGTAGGCGTTTGTCCTCATCTGGGAGCAGGATGGTTCCCTCTCAAGCTGATAGAGCCTGTGCCTTTTAGACACTGTCCTGGGCTTCCAGAAGGAAACATAATTGGAGCGTAGGACTTGTTGCTTCCCAAAGTCCAGGGCAGATGTGTGCCACCTCATCTTCTCTTGCCTGGTTCTCTGAGATACTCACTTGGGGATCCCTGGTTGTAGCTGGGTAGGGGTGGGGGTGGACAGCAGAAGGGACAGCACAGATTGTTCTAGGTGGAGAATCTTATGAGCCAGGAAGGTCCCATGTTCTCAGAAGCTTACTGCCTGGAAATTGTACGTGCTTCTCCCCCTCTTTGCCTGGGTCCCAGAAGCCTGACAGAAGAGGAAACAGTACACAAGGGGTCCACACGGGGTTGGGGTTGGCAGCAAGCAGAAGTAGCAAAGGCAACATGGGCTGACAGAGCCTCAGGAGTTGGCCACAGTTCTTGTAGTTTGGAGATGGGCAAGGTGGCCCAGGTACATGGTATGTACCCACTTCCCTGGAAAGAATGCACATGTGTAAACCCACTGTGCATGCAGGCCTGAGAAAGCCACAGCGACATAAAGACACAGATATTGCTCCCTATTGCTCCATAGATGAAATTCTCCCCACACCCAAGGGGAAGCTCCTCGCTTCGGTCAGCATGTAGGGAGTCACTGCCCTTGGTCCCGGAGCTGGAATGAGAGGGCAATGTGGAGTCCAGTGGTTCTTTCTCCACGTCTTGATTGGGTGACAGTGGCCAAGCCCCAGCCTGGCCCACATCACCAGGGATGGCAGCTTTCAGACTGCAGAGAGAATGGAGGAGACAGATTCTGGGCAGATGTGCCCAGGGAGGTAAAAGAAGAAAGGATAAGAACTGGATGAACGTGTTTGGAGAAGAGGGCTGGTGACAGCAAGGTGAAGCTGATAATGCAGATGGAGGTCACCCTGGGGAGGGCTGGAGCACCCACAGGCTGTCTCTGAAAGGTTTGGGCAAAAGCAGCCTGCAGATGATCTAACAGGTGTGTGGGATGGGCAGGGCCAGAGACCACAGGATCCAGGCAAAGATGGTCCCGCTCAGAGGTGGTGACCCCTCTCCTCGCTCAGTGAGAGGGACAAAAGCACCAAGATGACTTACAAAGGCTTTGAGGTGAGACAACGACCGAAACGGTGTAGGGGCCCTATATGGGAGCGGGCAGGTAGGTGTCAGAGGCGTCCTCACCCTTATGCATGGTGTCTGTAATGGCTGTTCTCATGCCACCTATGTCCTCTCTCCCTGTGACAGGTTACTTTTACTCCCAAGACCCAGCCCAGATCTGGAGAGTGGCAGAGAAGCTGGAGGTGGGCATGGTGGGTGTGAACGAAGGCTTGATCTCCTCCGTGGAGTGCCCATTTGGAGGGGTGAAGCAGTCTGGCCTGGGGCGAGAGGGATCCAAGTATGGCATCGATGAGTACCTGGAGGTCAAGTATGTGTGCTTTGGAGGCTTGTAGGATTCTTCTGATCCTTTCAAAATAAAAAAGGGAGCTTACCGACATCGATGGGGACATGCCATCCATTCCTTTATAAATAAATTTATAGATAATGTGAATTAAGACTATTTTATAGCTCATCCCGTCCTCATAATCTTAAGCACATGCCAATCCTATGCCTCCCTTTATCTAACTAGGGACCAACCCATGTCATGGGCCTGTGGCTGCAGACTCCCCAAGAACCAGCATCCATTTAGAGAATGAAGCCCTGAGCCCCCCGATTCCTGTCTGCCGCAGAGCAAGTGTGGTGTGAGGCAGGTGGCCCTATGGCCTCATCACAAAGGCGGGGTCACTGTTGGGCAATGGCAGCCATCTGCCAGGTGGCTCCAAGCTTAGACCATGCAGGCTATTAAGGGGTCCTGGCCCCACCCCCACTGCCGACTCAGCATTGGAGGCCCTTGCTCTGTATCTGGGGTGTTGCTGTGGGGGTTGAATTTTTAAGATAGCTGAAGTGGCACAGACTCGCTGGGCCTCTATGTAGAATGAGAGCGCCCCTATTCCCTTTTCCACGCCAGTTTTTTCATTGAGATCTTCTTTGTCCTAAATTCACTGCCTGAAGATTACATGGTCTTTTCTGTCCTGTTTTCCATTGCACTTTGTGTCGTTTGGGGAAGGAGCCTGAGGGTAAAGCGGAAAACTTGAGAGGCAGGCACTGAGCAGGAAGCACAAGGTGGTAGCTTTGTGCTTCAGACATACTGTTCAGCACCCACCTCCCCTCCCTCAAGAGTAGAGGGTCAAGGTCTGCCTTACTTATTCGATGGGCTCTTGTGAGCCCAAGAGAAAGAAAAGGTATTTGCAAAAAAAAAATAAAATGTAAGACTGATATTAAGAACCAGAGCCTTTATTGTGGGAGCACAGACTCCCAGGCCACTGGTGGTAGACTAGCCAAGATGAGGGCAAGCCAGGGCCCACCTGCTCCCCCACCCCGGCCCGAGTAAGTGGTTGTCACCTGTAGCCTGCTCTTGGCTGTCCTCAGGAGGGGCTGCTCCTTTCTCTCCAGAAAAGCAAAAGCACAGCATTCTAAAAAGGAAAAAGAATTTCCTTAATTGCCAAACTACCTGACAGGCGGTGGGAGATCTGAAATTTCAGGCATCTTTTCCCAACTAAGAAGTTTTACAGTTCATCATTTACAAACCCAACACTAGAGCCCTATGACCAGCATTTCCTCTCAAAGTGAGAGTAAAACTCTGATTAGGAAAATTCGAGGCTTTTCTTTTATGTCTCCCTGCATCTTCATACAGCGAGGAAAGGAATAGTCAGTCGCACATTGCTGCATGACGTTTGGTCAAGGGCACACGTGGGTATGATGGCAGTCCCTGGGCAGAGCTTGGCTGCCTGCTAGGTTTGTGTGTGTCATTCAGGACCTGTGGTTGAGAAAAGAAGGGTCTGGAATGTCCCTGAGGCCCAAAGGAAGGAGCTGCCATCAGCCCCCTAATGACAGACCTTGCCCCGCCCTGTCAAGAATCACATTACATCAGCATCTTGACAGCAAATACCTACCTTTTGTTTTTATAGTTTTTAGATTGTTTCCTAACATTCTAATTACTTAAGATTTGGGTGTATCTATCTGTTATTTATTTTTAAAAATACTAGAGCATTTTTATTGTCTGGGATACTTAGAGGTGTTTGAATCATACATTCAAATAAATAAGTCAGTGACTCCTTGGCTGGGTGGTGGATTTTGAATTCTGTGTATTTGGCTCACGAGGTACAAAAAATGAAGAGTCAGGACTCACTGCAGTATATCTTTGATTCCTTTTGTGGTTGAAGTAATTTGAAAAGGAACTGGCTAACAGTTGAGCAAAATTGTTCTGTGTTACGGAGAGAAAGAGAAGTGTTTTCAAATGAACATTTGGGAGCTGGGAATGGCTTATTCAGGAAATTAACCATATGTGATGGATGGGATTTTTTAAAATTTTATGACCAGAAAAGGCAATGGGTTAGCAAGCAACAGCTCATGGGCCATACCTCACCCACCTGTTTTTGTACAAGAAGAGCTAGGGAAGTGTTGCATTTCGAATGATTGGGGGGAAATAAAAGAATAATCGTTTTCATGACACTTTAGAAGTCAGCATCCATAAGGGAAATTTGAAAACAGTCATCCCATTCAGCTGCATTATGGTGTATGGTTAATTTCTTGGCAGACAGTTGACCTGCAAAGCCTAAGACATCCACACTTTAGCTCTCTACAGAAAAGGTTGCCACCATGAGCTATATACCAAGAGGGAAAGATTGACCTTAGCAAGTTTGTCGGGCATTATTTCACTTCACTGATACCTGCTGTGTAAAAAGTACTTTTCTGGACATTGCTCTAATGAGTGTCACCAGACTTCCCAGCAATTACACATAACTGAAATGAAATGACTCTGGTAACAAGAGACTCTTGGTCTTGGCAAAAACACTTCTCAATTTATTCTCCCTGCATATGCAGGGATTCTCACCTTCATTTTGCTCTCTGTTCAAAAGACTTAAATAATGAATATGATTTTATGTCAACTGTTTCTTCTGCCTTTATTCATATGGAAGTCAGTGAAAATGAAGATCAGAAGCCGATGCAAGTAAAAATATTTTATTGTCAATTTGTTTTTAACTCTACACTGTGCCATATAACCATCTTCTCTAAAAACTAGAGCCCAGGGTTTTAATTATTTATGCAGCTACTTTGGGTAGCATTTTACTTGAATAATATTTAAGCTGTGATGTTTTTCATGCTCATTTGTGGAATAAAACTTGAGAATAAATGTAGTGGGAAATGTGTCAACATTTTGCTTTATAATATGAGCTCATCACTCATTAGTCCAATTTTTGATAATTGTGTACATGTATCAGTGTCTTGTTAGAAGCGTTGTGTGTGATTAATAAATGTTATATTAACAGAATTTCTTATCTCTATGTTCTCTGGTTGTGTTTTTTTTTTCCCTTGTCAGTTCATCATTTGAGTTTGTATTGGACATTATTACACCAGTTTAGATATGTATGGAAAGCAACAGAATCTGCCACCCACAAATCTAACTGTAGGAATTTAGGACATGCCACCCCAAATTAGTTGAGCTGAAGACACTGAAAAGAAGCAAATGCAAGAGTTCCCCTTGTTTCACCTCATGGTCTTTGTAAATCATCTCAGCATTATCAGCTTCACCTTGCTGTCACCAGCCCTCTTCTTCAAACACGTTCATCCAGTTATTACCCTTTCTTCTTTACCTCCCTGGGCACATCTGCCCAGAATCTGTCTCCTCCAATCTCTGCAGTCTGAAAATTGCCATCCCTGGTGACATGGGCCAGGCTGGGGCTTGGCCACCATCATCCAATCAAGAAGAGAGGGCCCTTCCTGATGGCGCAGCACTACCAAGCCATCAGCAGCCACCGCAGCACAAGTTCAATCCTTGGCCAGGGAGGTGACCCACATGGTGCAGCAGAACTCTCCTGTCTCACTCATTGCTCCCCTCAGCAGAGTATTTCAGTCATTTCGCCTGTTCTATCCCCACTCCGTCTGGCCAACCCTCAGACCCCCACCTCTGGCCTGTATCTCAGTTCTTGTATTCATAAATAAACAAATCTTAAAAAAAGAAGTGGAGGAGGGGGGCGGAGAAAGGACCACTGGCCTCCAAGTTAACCTCAAAATATCTGCAAACCTGTCCTGCCATTCCCGTGCCCTTTCAAAATTAAAGTCACTGTTCTACCATCATTGCATCAACACATTATTCTTTTAAATCAGCAAATGTTCAAGACTTCGAAGCCCACTGGTAACTCTGCAATCAGCCTAGTTAGCTGACCGGTAAGGAGGCAGTCAGTCATGGCTGTGAGGTTTTAGGGAATCAGCAGTTCAAAACTGAAAAAGTGATGCAGGAATTACACAAATGGATACAAAATACAGGTGGAGTATTGATACAAACTAGATGAGGGGATGTGCCTTGGCTACTCGCCCCTCAAGCTAATTTGCATCCCCCAATTGCAAGCTTCCTCCAGCAGGGGGCAGACTGCCCGTTCAAGTCAGAGAAGTCAGCTGTGCCTTCCTGGCCCAGCGTCTCCCCCCATCCAGGCTTCCCAAGGGAAGGCTTGTCCTGCGGGGATTACTCTAGACTTCAATTTTTTTTCCTGTAAAGAGCCAGGAAATAAATATTATAAATTGGGACACAGTCTGTGTTCAAGTTACTTAAGTTGTAGCAGCTCAAAGAACCACAGACAACTCAATGAATGAGCGTCCAAGACACTATCAATCTGAAGTCGTGTCTGGTGTCACAAAATATTCTTATGATTTTTGTCAACTATCTGAAACTGTGAATACCATCCTTAGCTCACAGCTCACAAAAACAGGACACGGGCCAGTTTGCAGATTCCTACTCAAGGGAGTTGCCTCAAAATAGAAAGCACACTCACCCCTCCCCACCAGCCTCCACCAACCAGGAGAAAATTACAGAAAACAGCCACCTTTACTTTGATTCTTACATATGTTTAATAGTGTTCTATTAGAAATGAGACCTTGTCTCAATACAGGGGGAAATAACACACAAAGAATACATCTTAAAAATAAAACTGAGACTTAAAATGCCAAAGTCCACCATAGATTGATCATATACAAGATCAGCTGCCCCTCTACTCCTGCCCCCGGCTGGTGTCACTGACAAGATGCCTTATTTTTGTTTGTTTTTAACTCTTTTGCTTGGTTTTTTGCAGTTCTAATCAGAAACACACGCGGCTTCTTAGTACTGTGGCTTTGAATCCCCCTTTTATCAAATGAAACCAGCAATCTTTCATGTTGGCTTGGGAAACCTCTAAGTCCCTCCCATTTTCCAGGGTCCCCTTTTCTCCTCTCTCTGTAGTTCTTGGTAGTTGATCTTCCAAAGGCACCTAATGGATAAGTGTCCAAGACAAGAATGCGGACTGTCTTTCCACCTTGTGATCTGATGAGGTGTGAGATACAAGAGAGGGTCCACTGTCTGGACATTTGATTTACCACGGGTTCAAGATCCTTTTGTGGCCAGCTGGGAAAGCAGGGCCAGAGCAGGGTAGCGGCAGAAGCAGCCGTGGCCAAGGGAGAGGGAAGCCCACGGGAGTCATGACGGGGCTTCTCGCCCCTGGTCGTCTCTCCTAAGCTTCAAAAGGAATTCCTCCTCGTGCTGGGATCACATCATCCCAAGGTCCGCCAGAAGTGGCCCTCCAATAGTTGGGGACAGGAGTTCTTTAGGTCTTGGTGGGAGGCAGTTGGAAATCAGAGGGTCCAGCAGCCTAAAATTTTTGCATTCAAGTCCCAGACCCACCACTTCTTAGCTGTGACCTTGGGCAATTTATTTAAGCTCTTGGGCTTCTGACTGTTGTCTGCAACAAGAGAATAACAATATCCACTTCTCAAGGTTGGCTGTAAGGATTATATTCATTACATACATAAAGGGCAGTGGTCTTTTAACAAATGACTATGTACTTCCTCGTCATTGTATTATACCAACTTCATAGCTGGGCTGTGATCCTCTATGCCAGAGATGTCTTGCTGTGCACAAAGCAGCAGAGCGTGGGCCACTAGATAGAGCATATTTTAAATGTATGAAGGTAAATAATGGTGTAAAAAGCATCCCATGTTCATTTGAACACCATAGAGGGAACTAAACTGGCTGGCAGTACAGAAAATGTAGGCTTATAGCAAAGAAATTACATCAAAAGTGAAATTACACTTCTAAACTTTTTCATTGCCATTCCCATAATGCACAGTAATTAAATCAACATGGCTTTGCAATGATGAGTATTACCAGAGAGCACAGAAGATACATGAAAACTTACGTTTTCCCAAAGACTCACGGTAGCCATTGTCCTGATGGTTTAAATCTGATGGTTTAGCCACCTTCTTTATTCTCTTCATCATACCAAAGCAATCCTCGTTCTATAGAGACCAGGGAGCAGGTGTGCATACTCACACTTGATGCTACAGCACTTGCTCTGTGATAGGTTCCACCTTTCATTCTTACCTCCCCATGAATTAGGCACCACCTCCACCCAGGTTATTATGGTCCTCGACCTGAAGTACTGGGTCCTTTGCCTTCTAGGAAAAGAATCCAGAGTGCTAGGGAGAGTGGGGTGAGGCTAATTCTCCTTTCCTGCACTGTTCCCTCATGCCCGAGTCTCTCATAAAGCCTTGTCTGGTTCAGCTACAGCTAGCACTCTTGGTAAATTCTTTCCCGAGAGGGAAAAGAACCTACTCTTTTGGGTTGAGACCTGTAACATGACCAGGCTTAGGACTGTGGAGGGACAGGGCACTACTGGCTCCAGTCCATTGCTCTGGGAGCTACTCTGTGATTGGGGATGGCTTAACTTGACCCATGTATTTAAAAGACTATTTAGCAGAAAAACTATTCATTGAAAACATGTTTAAACATGTGGAATGAATGTGTGCTTATTATTACAGAAAGTGTATGTGGGAATCCAGAGTCTCAAGAATGTGGCATCCTAAGGAAGACTGATGGCATTTCAGAGTTTGGGAACAGATACAAAATCACTAGTTGCTGCGCCCTATCTATGGCAGTCTGCACACCTGGCCTAGGGTCCATTCTCCATAAATATTTTGTGAGTTAATCCTATTTATTGTGTTTAATGGAAACCAGGCCTAAGAGAGGCCTCAAAGGAATTTTTAACAGGAGAATGAAAAGGTAAATAATGTAAAAAGACTGCCTTCAACTTTCAAACTCCAAGCCACTCCCTGTTGATTATCTCCTCCTCTGAACACAGTTTTTATTGAGCTCTCGAACATGCAAGATCTGCTTTCTATAAAGAGCACAGAAACGGTGGTTGACAAAACAAAGCCGTTAAACCAGAGGGCTTTGCTCTGTCTAGGTGTCACAGTTAGCACACAAAGCTTGTGGCACGGAAGTAAGTCAAGCCAGGCCACAGAGAAACCATTCAAATATCCCCAGGCCACAGAGAAACCATTCAAATATCCTTAGTCTTCTGAAATCATTATGGGTCCACCCAGAGCTATGTTTGCAAAGTCAGCCTTAAGGGCACACGCAGCTTCTGAGAGAAGTGAGTCCTCTTTAAACTATATTTAACTCACCTTCCCTAAAGCAGTTAGAAACAGGTCTTAGTTAGTCTTAATTTCAACACAGACAAGATCTACTGGGGTCAGCCACAAAAACACACAAACGCTCTTTAGTATAGAATGTAGCTTCCTGCCCAGCCTTCATCTCTATTAACAAGCATCCCAGTGGAGAGAGCAATGTTCTTGTTTGGTATTGTGTCTCAAAAACTCCACAAACATGGGCCTTTTCAAATGAGGAGACACATATCCTGCCTCCCCTAAGGGGCCATATTTTGGGTTTGTACTCCCCCAGGCCCTGGATGAAGGACTCTGGCAGTCCCTCTTTTCACGGCATCACCATTATCTGTCCTTCGAACAGTAGCTGAAAGAAGTGCCATTCCTGATGGAGCCATTCATGGACACCTTTGGGTTCCCTCTCTCCATCCTTTCTCGGCTGAAGATGGTGTCTTGGTCACTGTCCAGCTCAGACTCTGACACCATCAGGCTGGAGTTGAGCTCTGTGCTGCGGTGCTTGATGCCTAGGGAGAAGCAGACAGAGGGGTCTTGGGGAGAAAACACTTTGCACTCTTGGCTATCTGTCCTTCTGGTTTCAGGACTGTGCTCTATGCACCTTCAAACCAATCACTCCCCACCCAGCCGGTGGTTTGGGCCTTCTAGTAAGAAGTGGGGCTTAGAATCACACCTGAGGGGCTCTCCCTGGCGGCACAGTGGGTTACAGCGCAGCACTGCAAGCTAGGCAAGCTGCTTCAGTGTGAGTTCGATCCCTGGTACCAGAGGTGACCCACATGGCCTAGCAGACCTCCCCTGTCTCGCCCACTACTCCCCTCAGCTCCCCCCTTCATTGATCTGCCTGTACTGCTCCTCACTCTGTCTCTAGTGAATCCTCTCACTGCCCCTTGCACCTCTGGCCTGTGCCCCAGTTCTGTATACATAAATAAATAATTCTTAAAAAAAAAAAAAAGGAATCACACCTGAGCCTGAGGCCAACTTCTGCCATCCACGATCTGTGTGATCCTGGCCCACATGCTAACAATCTCTGGGCTTTCAGTGTGTTCATCTATTCAGCTGGAAGATAGCAAAGCATCTCCTCCATGGGTTTATGGTGAGGATTCATTGCAAGAGTTCATGGAAAGTTCTTGTCAAGTATCTAACACACTAAGCTCTCAATAAATGAAAGCTGTTAATGATTTCACCAGTTTAGTTAAATATAACATTTTTTTTGTAAGATAGTTGATTGCTGGCAATCAAAGTAAGAGACGACTCTTAAAGAATTTAGTGTCTAGCTAAAAGTTTCAAGACAAAGACTCCTGAGAATATGGTTGGTAACGGGCAGGAATTTAAAAATAATCTCACACTGAGCCAAGAAACTATCAGTTGTTTCAGTGATATTTCAAACAGGATGGGATTTGAGGGGCTTTACGACTGGAGAGGGGCATGGAGTATGCAGAGACATCCAGAAACACTCAGCGAAAACAGTCCAAGACGCTGAGGCCTCAGGAATATAAGGTAAGCCATGAAGTTTGGATTTTATAAGCGAACAGGTGATGTGATTAAACTGTGGTGTCAGGACATTATTAAGACACAGCGAGCAGGACAGAGGGTGGAGGGAAGGTGACCCCAAGCTGACAGCTTGGCGCAGAGGAGCAGGGGAGCACAGACCCCAGGCTTGCAGCAAAAGCCCTGGCCCAACCTGCAGCCGGGATTCCAAATTCTCTGGAATTTGGGCGAGTGGCTAAATTGTGCTGTCCTTGTTTTCCTCTTCTGTTAAGTGGGAATGATTATTGTACGTATCTCCTAGAGCTTATTGGTTGGACCGGAATTAGAATGGGTAACATGCTTCCAACAGTGCCGAGTGTGTTAGAGGCCTGTTAACCCTTGTTGTGGGGACTGTTAGTTTAGGGGTGAGATGAGAAGGAGCTACGCAAGGGGAAAGTGGTGAAAATGATGGAGAAAGAGGGCGAGGCACTTGCGAGATAGCCTGGGTACAGTGGGGACAAGGTGCCTGGCCAGACTCCCAGGAGTGAGGTTCAGAACCTGGGTGGTAAGGGGGGGTTCTGTAAGCAGGCATGGTGGTGTCAGGAAAGTGAGTGTATTTTAGGGGCAAGGGGGTGAACTAACACAGTCTAAAGCACTCTGAGCTTTTAAGTATAAAGTAGTCTTATAATGCTCTGTTCTTAAGTTATGTAAATGGAGAGCAATCAATGTGCTCATGAATTCATAATAATGTGGGCTATTATTTGTACTTTCTGTGATGCTTTTCCTGCCCAGGCTCCAGCTCCACTCTACCAACATCATCAGTTGTCCTGAACACTCTGCCCCACAGGCAGGATCCATGCTTCTGTAGGACCTGTTATCTTCTGGAATAATTCTCCTCCCTCGGCTGTGAGCTGCCATCAAGGCAGGCAGAGGTGTCATTCTCTCCACGTCTAATCAGATACTTAGTACTTAGTAGGCAAAGAACATTTGCTATGGGTGCCTTTGAAAATCATTCTGTCCCTCTAGACAAATTAACTTAATTATACATCCAGAATTACGAAAAATTCATAGCGTGAGTGCTGAGCCACCTTAGAAGATCAGAAAAAGTTCAGTAACATCCAAGAGTTGATAGATGAGAATAATAAAGTTAACAGAGCTGGTCAGTGGTACTTCCAAACAGAGAGAGCTGTTCATTTTGTGGAAAGCCAATTTTCTGTAAAAGCTTTGAGAGTTAGCAATGGGGCACCTTCATTATAGCAGAGACTAAATAATGCTTAACTTTGAGGTCTAAATGTTATTTGCTGCATTTCTTGTATAGCAGATGTCAAGGGAATAGCACCCAGAGATGAGACAGGGTGAACTGATCCTACAGGGTGAACTGATCCTACATTCTTCAAAGTAAAGTAGCAAAAATTCAGGCACTGGTAACATCTCTTTTTGAAAGGCAATCTTTTCCCTGGGATCATCTGGTGGTTGCTCAACTGAGAAGAGGCGTTTCCTATCCCTCACCCACTAAACGCCTCCACACATAGCCAAAACTTTATTAAATTTATAGCCCAGCATTCCCTCTCAGTTAGCATATCCTCTGATGATGTGGATGGCTTTTCTACACAAGTCTTTCTCAGTTAAAGTGCTGGCATCTGCCAGAGTGGGTCCCTTTGCTCCAAGGCAACTCTCAAGTAAACTTCTGGATGGAATCATTTTAAGGTATCAGGCAAATACCTCCAAATACGGAGACTGTCTTACCATATTTGGGTCTCAGCTCCATTCGCTCCTGGTCATCCATGTTATCCAAGATGGTATACTTTGTTTTTTTCCTTATTTTAGTCCTTCTTCGCCTGAAAGAAAAAAATGAAAAATTCACCTTAGATTCTCAGAGAGGTAACAAGACCCAGGATTTAAGATATGCAGAGGTGACTAGAATGGCTTCTAGAATGGAATCAGCGGTCAGCATCTTTTAATGATGTGCATACACAGAGAGTTCTGATGCAAAGGCACTGAAGTTCATCATGCAGACTCGGAAGCAGTAAGACCATGCTCCCCACAGCTGCAGCTCTCTGCGAAGACTCAGAGGAGGTGCCAGGACCCTTTACAGCAATGCCCAACTCCTATGTGCTGGCCCATGAGTAACTCTTTCCTCAGAACAACCTGGATGAGCGATTTACCCCTCACTGTATACTACCCTGGAATGTCCAACGATGCAGGAATAAAAAGCTGACAGAAACCAAACATCTAAGAAAAAATAACCATAGACAATAAAACCCTAAATTTAATTAGCAACAATCCAGTCTTGTATTATTTTTCCACAAAACAAGAAAATAGCTAGTTTTGCATGCCACAGTCTGTGTTTCAGAGGAGAATGTGCAAATGCAGATCAAATCGCTGGGAAGGAGAGCAAAGAGTTATTTCTGATAGCTTGGTGATTAAGAGCATGGGTTTCTAACCCCTGCGTGGCTTTCAAAGATTATCTGGTACTTTGGTGCCTCTATATTCTCACCCATAAAATGGAAGAAAAAGTATGCTCTCATGTGGGTAGGAGGAGTCAATAAGATAAAATATATAAAGCATGTAACACCATTAATCACAGTGGCACTTGGGTCACAATAAATCCCTGACATCATCATCGTTTACCTAATGCTTATCTCATAAAGCTCAGAATGTAAAGCTGCTTAAAGCACTGTAGGATAACCATCATTACAGAAAGTTCTTTATGGATGAAACTTCTTAACAGGAGATATGCCTCTAAGTGCCTGTGTAAGTGTTCCCTTTGTCTTGGGAACAGTAATCACAAATGAAACTAAAATAATTTATAAGTTGTTACTGAGAAACAATCACTAATTATGCTGTTCTATTACTTTCCATTGTGTGTTCTTTTCAGAGATTCTCAGGGCGTTAACTGGGTAAGTGGATCCCAGGCCATCTTCAAAGAACATGAAGAATCAGTCACTGTGAATCTTCCTCATAGAGGGCTGGGGAAGGAGTTCTGGAATATTCTGACAATGGGGAAACTCAGGAACTTCTTAAAGGTCAGTCTCATGGAAACACTTAAGCAAAAACTCTCTCTGGTTTCCCACTTATTAGATAAAATTCATGTAGATTTGGTTGTTACTTTGCACAAGTAAAATATTGTCTACATCTAAAATTCCTTCCTCCACTGGGCAGAGGGCTAACTAGTCAGAACACCTAGATGGTGGTCTACTGAACATAATATGAGACTGATAGAAAATCACATTAGATTTGAAAATCACATTAGATTTGGTACAGAATCATCGAACAATCTAGATAATATGAGAGCAGCAATGAGATAAAGCTTCCATTCATCTAGGCACTTAAGTCAAGAAAAATAAGAGATTGCATCATAAAGTCTAGTTTGCCTTAAAAAAAAAAAAAGATCATCAAACAATTCAGCAGCATAAGTCAAACAAAACCTGTAATATCCTCTTGAATGATATTGTTACTGCAATCATCAGATTTTCTGATCTAATTCCCCATCCAGGAGTCGATCCCAGGCTGCAGGGTGGCTGGTGCTGAGTCCCAACCACTAGACCACCAGGGGATGGTGTCTAACAGCCACCTTGGCGTCCCACCTCAGAGCATACAGATCTTCTTTCCCTAATTCTGCTAAAGCCCCATCAGTCTCTTTGTGATTCATTAGTTCTTGGTGACCTCGCTCGTTCTGCCCAGAATGACACATCTTCATCTCAGCCCTTATTTTATTGCCCATGTCTGGGGCTGTCCTGTTGCCCCTAATCCAGGGTATTTGATTAATTCCCTTTGAAATTTGCTGCCCTTATCTCTGGAGCCTTCCTTATTCCTCCAAGGCTTTTCCCCTATCTATTCTGACCCTAGAAGTCACCCCTTGCCCTATGATTCATTATGTCTTTATTTCAAGTACAAAAATGAAGCATGCCAGGTACCTCTTGCAGCAGCAGATGCAAAGCCAAGTCAACCCCCCTGTGAGGAGTAGGAGGGTCAGAACCAGCACTGTCACGTAGAATACATTCCACTCTGAAAGACAGAAAGCCGGAGTGGACACGGTTACATGCTGTGTGCAAAGCAACTTCATTTCACGACTGGCTGTATTTCGGACTCCTTACAAGCAAGCAATGGTCATCTTGGGACTGATCACTTCTCATGTGGCTGGGAGCAGCATAGAACAGGGTAAAATACAAATAAATCAAGAACAACCTAAAACCTACTTTTGTCTAGTTGGTTCATGGAGCATGTATTTCATGCTGACTTGAGAACAGAATCATCTGAAAAAACTGAAACCAATCAATTAAGAAGAAGTCATGTCTCTTAGACATACATGTATGGTTCATCAATATATGCATTCCAGATTCATAAACCTCACCCTCTCCCAAATAGTTCTGACTTGGTTTTCATAAAGAAATAAAATACTTCTGTGGCTTCCTATGACCTGCAGATACGTTCACAGTGCCAGGCAACAACTCAGAGTGAGCTGGTCTTCATTCCTTCCACAGCCTGGCAGAAATCCTATATAAAAAGCTTTGCAACAGCAACTCAGGAGCAGAGAGGCCAAGCGAGTGAAGGCACAAGGCATCACTGAAGATTATGCTCCTTAGAATAATGAGCAAAGGGCTGGCTATTTTTCAATTTTTATGTAGTGATGAGTGGGAACATAATTTGGCAGTCAACTCTTACTAATTTTTCTACTAATTCTGTCCATCTGGATCCCCAAGACATCAAATTTACTCTCAGAATAGACTGGCATTAAAATACAGTTTCCTCTCCAGGAGGAGAGATTTAAAACACCAGCTTAGCCAGCTGAAGCCATGCCTCCAAATGGTGGCTGGGCACGCAGTCCAGAAGAGTGGACCTAATTCTCTTATTGTTCTGATTTCGGCAGGTCCACGCCAGGGCTCATACCAAGCTTAAGGATGAACAGGTGACCTGGAAAGGCAGCCCATGCAGACCAAAGCAATTCTCTTAGCGACAGCTCAGCCATGATGCCAGATTTTTCATAAGGACATTTTACCAAATGCTAACCATACAGACTGTGGAGAGGATCTTCATTCATTTATGAAGTGACTGAGTTTGCTTGGCTTCAGGTAATAGGAACACAGTGGAAAGCTTATAACTGCAACATTAGGTGCATGTTTCTGATATTTCTGAATGATGAGGGATCACAAAACACCCCTCATGCCAAATGTTTAGATAGGCTTTTTCCAAGATGTACAGAATTGGCTTTTTTTGCCACCTTGATGTGTGAAACTAAGGTCAACCAAGACCCTGTGGGTCTCATTACTGTAAAAAAAAAAAAAAAAGTAATTACCTAGATTTGGGGGCATCTCCAGAAATAACCTTCTTTATCATAGAAATCTATATAGGGCCCTTGCTGCTGGCACAGTAGGTTAAAGCGCAGCACTATGAAGCAATCTGCAGCCACTGTCATGAGTTCGATCCCTGGCAGGGAACTGACCCACATGGCATGGCAGACCTCTCCTGACCTACCCACTACTCCTCTTAGCAGCATATTTCACTCGATCTACTTATTCTGCTCCCCACTCTGTCTCTGGTGGATCCTGTCACTCCCCGCACCTCTGGCCTATCCCCCAATTCTTGTGTGCATAAGTAAATTTTTTTTGTAAGTATTTTTTAAAAATGAAAAAAAATCGATCTAGAGGCAAGGCTTTGTTGCATGAGTCTCTCTCCCTGTCACATGAAGCCTCTACTCCCTCCCTGACATGCAGGACACACACCCTGTTTGTCCTATTCTCCTGTTTATGCCTTTAGAATAGACAACCATATAAATTCCTGAGGTGCATGTGACTAAACTTTTTTCCCTTTTTTCCTCCTAATCTATCTGAGAAGACTCCAGAGGGGCAGGGAATATCCCGGTGCCCTGACAGCGAGTTGTCCTCCCTCAAAGCCATCCCCCTGGACTCACCACAGTTACTCTCCCCGTCGCGGAGGTAGCGCTGAATCATGTTCTCCATCCACAACCCAGCACAAACACAGCGCTTTGTGATGGGGTCGCAGTGGCCATGGCCAGAGCACTTGAGAAGGCAACCTGGAGAGAGGTGAGTAGGGCTGAGGTTACCACCCAGAAAAGCTGAGCTTCCCTGGCTTCAGCCTGTGATTCCCATGACTTCTGCCCTGAACACGTGCATCTTATGAAATCAAGAGCCCTCGGTGGCCTGGGGGTTCAAGGTAGTCTCCCCCTAGTGGCAAACTCAATCTGGAAGCAAATGGCAGAAAGGAGTCAATTTATACCATTACACAAAATTCTTAAAAATGCAGTACCCTCTGGCCTAACACAGTAGGGAGGGGCAATGGCACCCCAGAGCAAGTGAAATCTGAGTATAGCTTCTGACTCCCCCAAAACTTAATCACTAATAGTCTGTTATTGATAGGAGGCCTTTCTGAAAACATAAATAAGTCAAGGAGCTCATATTTTATATGTTGTATTATATGCTATATTTTTACAATAAAACTAGAGAAAAGAAAAAATTATTAAGAGAGTCACAAGGAAAAGAAAAAGCATTTACAGCATTTTCAGTTGCCCAGGACTCAAGGATCAACTGCATATGGATTGAAAACTCTGTAAGTAAATGGGCCCTGCAGTCCAAAAATTGTTGTTCAAGGGTCAGCTCTCACTGTGGACATGCTTACAGCTTCACCTGCAATTAGTATTTACAATTTAGGGCCCTCCCTGGTGGCACAGTGGGTTAAAGCACAGCACTGAGAAGCTAAAGCCACTTCAGTATGAGTTTGATCCCCGCCTGCCCCGGAGGTGACCCACATGGTGTGGCAGACCTCTCCTGACAGGCCACTGCTCCCCTCAGCAGTGTACACATTGATCTGCCCGTTCTGCTCCCTGCTCTGTCTCTGGTGAAGCCTCTCACCACCCCTACACCTCTGACCTGTATCCCAGTTCTGTATGGATAGATAAATAAATCTTTAAAAAAAATTTACAATTTAACATTATTACAATTAAACATTATTTAAAGATGTATATACTAATGCATATAAGAACTGGGGCACAGGCCAGTGATGTGGGAGTGGGGTGAGAGGATTCACCAGAGACAGAGTGGAAAGCAAAACAGGCAGATCGACTGAAGTACACTGCTGAGGGGAGCAGCAGGTGAGACAGGAGAGGTCTGCTGTGCCATGTGGGCGGCTGTGGATAGCTTCATAGTGCTGCACTTTAAGCCTTTGTACCACCAGGGAGGGCCCAATTAAACAACACTTAAAATCTCAAGCTTAAAGTTTACAAGGAGAGGACTAGTTATATAAATCATGAAGCATTCATAAGAGTACTCTGCAACCACAAACACCTTAACGAGGGAGAAATTTTAAAGAATTTGAAGGAAATACTCAAATTTTGAAAACAGAATGAAGAGAGTTATCAAATTATCCTGGCAGCATTCAATGTCTCCAGAGAAGGAGGACCTGTAAGGACATACATCAGCATATTCCCAAAAGTTAAGTTTGCGTGGTGGGCATTCTGGACTCTAGAACCTAGAGGATTGTTAGAAAAATTTTTTGGCCAGGAAAAAAAGGAATTCTTTTTTTTTTTTTTTTTAAATATTTATTTATTTGTGCTTACAGAACTGGGGTACAGGCGAGAGGCTCAGGGGCAGCGAGAGGCTTCACCAGAGACAGAGTGGGGATCAGAACAGGCAGATCGATGAAGTACACTCCTGAGGGGAGCAGCGGGCGGGCCAGGAGAGGTCTGCCACGCCATGTGGGTCACCTCCCGAGCAGGCGGGAATTGAACTCATGCGGAAGTGGCTTTAGCTTCTCAATGCTGTGCTTTAACCCGCCGCACCACCAGGGAGGGCCGGAAAAAAGGAATTTTAAAAAAAATCTTACTCAACTCAGAGACGGAGACTTGGAGCAGAAACCTGTGAGGGAGGAAGGGCAGGCGTGCTGGCTTCGAGCCTTGGACTCGAGCCAGGGACTTGGGGGACATGGAGGGAGGCACGTGGATGGAGACAGGTAGAGACACTGGAAGAGAGATAAGTGATAGACCACTGGGAAATGCACAACGACAGCCTGTATCTTGATTTCTACTTTGATTTTGCTCCTTTCATCTTCAACTTGCCTGGCCCTTTCTGCTTCTTTCCTCTGGGTCCCCACCAGGCGGTGCCTTTGGCTTGGGACAAGACTTGGATCTCAGTGGCTCTGCTTTGGGCCAACACTGTTTGGCTGGGCGTTTACGCATGACAGGTCAGTTTGGGTGTTTTGTTGGGAAACTGTTATCCTTTCTTCTTTTCTTTCTCTAGACAGACTATTCTTTTAAAATTCTAACAAATTAACTATGGGGATGGCACATGGGTAATTTGGTGAAGGGAAGCCCACAGGATTACAACTGAGATGGAGAAAGGCACAAAATGATATAAAAATAAGGTATTATATTATTTTTAAAAATTCTAACAAACTAAAAAGAAAAACTTACTCCATGTTACAATTGAGAAAGTCAATTGTGGGCAGACATTTATTTGAAATAAATTACATTTGATTGAAATCCCATTTACAGGGGATGATGAGATTCTAAGAACTAAATACACATAAAAGAGATGAGGTTCCCTCAACAATTTCAATACCACCTCCCGTTAGTGATGGCTTGAGTCTATGGACAAGGAGTAGGAGATGACTGAACTGTCTTTGGGGATAATTTTAACATCGTTGTTTTGTTTTCAGCTATAAAAATGTGTTGCATTTAGATGTGACAAGGCGGTGATGCTCAGTTGTAAACAATAGATACTAAATTTTACTCTAAAACATTATTGTGTCCCTTATAACTCTCACATTCATCAGTGTCCACTGAAATGACCACATTAGCATAATAAGGGATTCATGTTCCTGAGTAGCTGGGAACAAGAAACCTTGGACAAAAATCACACTTCTATCTGCACCTATGAATTGTTTGGTGCCCAGGAAAGGGTGCAAGCCAAGAGCCCAAAGGCACAATGGAAGGCACTGACAACCTATTTTAAAATTTCAATAATCGCTTCACATCATCATTACAATCTCAGGGTAAGGCGATTTTATAAATATGACTGCCCCTCTCACTGCCCCTTCACCTCTCGCCTGGACCCCAGTTCTGTGTGCATATTGTTCTGACAGGTTAAATACAAAATTTCTGACTATGATCATTATCTGGGGCAAAGTTCTAAAAATTGACCCATGACTATTGCTGTTTTCCAGTCTCCCTCAAAGACACATTGGACTTGGCTACATGCCTCGGGAGACCTTCTGGAGGAGGAGACACTGAGCAAGTATGCAGACACCACTCCTCTTTCCCATGCCAATAAAGCCTGGTGAAGATTAGCAAGTCTAATTCTTTCAGCATGTTCCCATAGAGGTTGACATGGAGAAATATGAACCATCGTTAAACACTGAATTTCATTCCCACTCAGTCAAAGAAGACTTGAGATCTGGCTGCTCTTCAGCCATTCTGGAACCAGAGATTCCACCACTTCCGGAAGTCTTCCCTCCAACCTCAAGTGGGTGGTTATTTATGTTTCTACAAGATTCTCACTGAATTTGACTTGGTGGGATGTCAAGCCTAGTGGCAGTCAATTCTAAATATACCTGAGCTCTCAAAAAAAAAAAAAAAAAAAAAAAGACACCTACATAGGGAACATACCCACTGTGTCAATCCTCAAGACTTTGAAAAGCAAGAAATCAGCTCTCTCCTTTGAGAGTCGCCTGTGTAGATTTCGGGCCACCTCGGCAGCTTTGAGAATCTTGAAAGGAGACCCACTCTGTACATAAAACACAACCATGGTGCTGCAGAGGAGAAAATGAAAGAGGACAGTCACAGAGACAAGCTGGGAACAAATGACCAGCTGTTCCAGCCAGAGTCCCATAAAACTAAGACACTGGCATGGCATGAAGTCAAGGCTGTGTCAGTGGGCCATGGAATCCAACTGTTTCTATGCACAAATAATGACTTTTCAGCCCCAAAGTTCAGCTGATAAGAGACCTTCAGATAAAAGGAAAAAAGTATAAATGTGCATATGTGTGCCAGCAGACACAAAGATACTCAGAACAATAGCTTCCAGACTTGTTCATCCTTTTACCTTTTCTTTTTTTTTAGACATAATTTACTTAACCCAAGTTCACCCTTTTAAAGTATGCCGTGTGATCGCTCTTAGTGTGTATGGAGCCCAATCCCCTCCGTTTGGCAACAAAAACTCCCCTGGACTAAAAACTTGGGAATTAGCAGAATTAAACTCCATCTACCCTTTGAATCCCTCCTGCTCTCTCCTTTTGATTAACTGTTAACTTGCTCCAACTGTAGTATTTGGAAAACTTGGAAAAACTGGCTATAGTACATCCCTAGGAAAAAATTTCTATGCCCCTCTGAGTTGATCGTGCTATCAGAAACAAATCTCTGCTGATTGCTGAGAAAACTTCCTGCTGGAAAAGTCAAACACCTTGACTCCAGTCACCTCCACTGCCTGGAACCTGCTAGACCTAGAAATGCAAAGCTCTGACTTCCCTCACATTCCTTCCCTCCCCACATAACCACAGCACTCCCATCATCTCGGAGTCAGTGTGTTACCTGACTCATAGATTCTCAGAAGATAACAACAGTAACCAATGAGCCCTTCTTATTGAGAGAAGGCTCAGTCCTATGCCCAGAAGGCAGGGTGAAGTCTGCTTCTGAAATATTCTCTGCACATACCCCAGGCCCTTTGAATGCCTTCAGAGCTCAACATCAGCTTAGTCAGATAGTCGCTAAACCTATCATTCAGAACATTCACCAACAATAAAACATCTACTGATACTTGTGGGAAGGATATGAAATGATGTCATCCTTACTGCTGCCCTTTGAGATTACGAAGTATATGCATAGGATAAAAGTGTGCAAAATGCAAAGTACAGGCAATGAACAGGTGCACGCTAGACTGAGCTGCTCATACCTGAGATCTGAGTGGGCCTGAATCTTCTGCACCTTGATGTCTGAATCCAGCACATTCAGCAGTTCAGCCAGCTGTCTCACGAGGGTGTCCTTCTGCTGCTCTGTCAGCTGCCCAACACCCACCTGCAGGATCAGCTCCACCAGGCCACTCTTCTTAGGGTCTGGGGAAAGAGAAGTTAGGTTATTTTTCTACTTGGTAGCCACAGCATGGCTGTGGTGAGGAACATAGCTGTGTAATCACTTACACAGCTAAAAATGACCTGTGTCATTCTGAAATTTGAGTTTTAGGATTCAGGTACATTTTTCCAAATACTACAAAGGCCATCTTTATTCCTGTTTAACCTATTAATTTATTTCCAGGAGATAACCATGTGTGCCTAATTGAAATTTCAGCAGCCCATTCCCTACGAGGAGCCTGAAAGGAGAATTTACTGTCCAGGCCCTGTGGGCACTGACCAGCCACCTTCCAATGCGGTTATCATAGCCGCCTCCATGGAAATGCCCTCCCTCGGTGCTCCCAGACTGTAGTAGCCCTTGGGTGCCCTCCACGTTAGGTCTTAGTCCTTTGTCAGGAGGATAAAGTGCTATCACCGGTTCCCTCCTGCATCACTTTGGAGAGAAATAGTGCAAAGGTCTGGCTAAGATACAGCGCCAGGCACAGCAGGCCTCCTGTTAGGGAGTTGCTCCCAACTGCAAAGAGCCCCAAGACTGCCCACCCCCATCACTAGCCCAGAAAGGGAGCCCATGAGCGCACCTGGCCGCACTTCCACGGTAGCGGTATCCGTGTCCGACGCCCCCTGACGGTCAGCTACTCGTAAGCGGAAGGTGTAGACCCCCTCCACCAGGTTGGACAGCCGCAGGGTGGCGCTGTGGTCAGAGCCTCCGAGGACATCCTGTGAGATCACGCAGGGGCAACACCCTTCACCACTCAATGCTCAGCAACCAGTTTCTGGACTTCTGGGGATGCCAAAGCTCAGCGTGCTATCTTTTAACATATGCACGACTTTAAGGGGCAGGTGGAGGAGGCCTGAGGGTGGTGGCTTGGCTGAAGATGTAGAGTCAGCATCCCTTGCACACAGAGCACTAGAAGGTCCACATTCCTCAAACAGTACTCATTGGGCTGTGCTTACCAAAGGTTTCCAGCAATTGCCAAGTTATTCATTTCATCGACATTGAAGACCCCTAAGGATAAAGTACCCTCTCTGAAGAACTTTCTGGGTCTTATTTCAAGCATAGTTTTACAAAAGTCTCCTCTTGGGCTTTCTATAATATCTCATATTCCCTTTCAAATGACTCAGCAGCCTGTGTAGAACCATCTCTGTTCTAGGAGGTTCCAAGCTCCAAAGAATAAGGGAAGAATCTCCCAGACTCTGCTTAGGACCCTGCTCTGAACTCACAAAGAGAAGAGGGTGATTACCTGCTCTGAATAAAGAGCAGGTATAATCACACGCAGAAGCTCATCCACCATCTACTTAAACAGCATTAATTCTTGAGTTTTTGAAAGCATGAAGCATTTTCAATTCCTTCTCCATGACCAATCTTTGGTACATCTCCAAGAGTATATTTCATATTTTACAGGTCCAACAGCAATGAAGATGTACCTAAATTTATAGCCTAAGAAGCAGGATGATCTAGTGGAGGAAACCTGCCTTCCAGGGTCTATTTAATTTGGTTAAGAATAAATAAGTTGACCTTGGTCAAGTCACTGTCCATCTATGCATCTTAATTTCCTATATTTGCAAAGTGGGAAGAGTAATCTTTGCTCTATTGACCCATTTGAAACAATGTGAGGAACATAAAGAATCTACTTGTGGAGCCTCCCTGCTGGTGCAAGTTAAGTATCTGTACTATGAAGCTATCACCAGCCACTGCAACATGAGTTTGATCCCTGGTCAGGGAGGTGACCCACATATAGCTCAGCAGACCTCACCTGTCTCACCTGCTGCTCCCCTCAGCAGTGTTCTTTGTCCATCTTGCTGTTCTGCTCCCCACTCTGTCTCTGGTGAATCCTTTTACTTTTCACCCCTGCCCCTCTGGCCTACACCTTAGTTCTCGTATGCATAAATAAATAATTTTTTTTTTTAAAAAGAAAGAATATAGTTGCGCCAAAGCCAGACAATGGGGATGCTAGGAGCAAAATGATTCCCATGGGAAATCTTGAGTTTACAGTCCTTCCAGGCTTACCCCATCCAAGGTCTGATCAAGGGAAAAAGTCAGAAAGCAACTTTTGCTTAAACCTAACAGCAGCCTATTTTCTCCAGTCCCCAAAGGAAACCTGGCGCATAAAGACCTCAGTGGGGAATATGGAAAGGGAGATGAGATCTTACTTAGGGAGATGAGATCTTAACTATGTTCCCTGCCAAATTCACATGTACCTCCAATGAGACTATTTTAGATAGAGCCTATCAGGAGGTAATTAATATTAAATGAACAGGCCCTCCCTTGTGGCGTAACAGGTTAGGACACAGCACTGCAAGCTAGCTGCAGTTGTCTCAGTGTGAGTTCGATCCCTAGCCCTAAAGGTGAACCACATGGCGCAGCAGACCTCTCCTGACCCGCCCACTGCTCCCCTCAGCAGTGTACTTCATTGATTTGCCTGTTCTGCTCCCCACTCTGTCTCTGGAGAATCCTCTCACCACCCCTGCACCTCTTGCCTGTAACCATTTCTGTATGCACAAATAATCTTTAAAAATATATTAAAAGAGGTCAAGAAAGACATTCCCACCCCCAGAGGATCACTCTCTCTCTGGGTCAAGTGAGAATGCAGTGAGAAGGTGGCCAGCTGTCTTCCAGCCTGGAAGAAAGCTCTCACCAGAAACTAAATTGGCTTTGATCTTGGTCTTCCCAAGCTCCTGAAGTAGGAAAAGTGTCTGTCCTACAAGGCCCCTAGTCTATGAGATTTTGTATGGCAGCTCTGGCAACCTAATGCAGACATAATGAAAGTGGACAGAGGCAACGCTCTTCAAGTACTTACTCCAGCTGCCGGACTTTGGCCATCCCGGATCCACACATAGGACACAATTCCTTGGTCATCAGTAGACCTTGAACCATCCAAAGTAATGGAGTTATTGGGAAGTACAAGAACGTGTCTGCCACCAGCCTGGGCTCTGGGAGGACTATTATTTTCTAAGTCAAATATAGAAAGATGAAAGCAAAGAGATTGATTTAAAACATGGGTGATAGAAGTATGTGTTAACATAACCACTGGTAGGCATGTAGATTTAAAACATCCAGAAAGACATGGCTGTCAGCTCCCGTCAGATAATACATATGTTCTTAGAGCTGTGGGGTTAGGGTTGTGCGTTGGGAGCTTAGACATTAGGGGTGTTTTTATATCATCGCAGTTGTCCTTTTTTTAAAAAAAAAAAAAAAGTGTGTGGGGGGAGAGATAATGATCTTACATTCAGGGTCCAGAAGGTGAAAATATTTTGTTTTGAAATATGCTCTAGGTAATTTTGTGCTAGTCCACACTACCTAGCATCAGAATTTTTTTTTTTTTCTAACAGTACTAAATCTTGCCTGTCCACTAAGTAAAATTAAACTAGAATAAAAAAGAATTAGACCATCATTCTGATTTGGTGTTAAGTCTACTGCACATATAACAGTAATTTCTGATATAACAACTTCAGGAGGGGGATCAGGAAACATCTAGCCAGGACCCTAATCTGGGGATGAGGTTGCTGGGATGCAAATTCTGTTTATTCATATGGGGCTTCGAGACCCAATATGACCCTGTGCAAATTCCCCATGAAAACAAAGCAAGCCATAGAAAACAAGTGAGGGCAGTCAAATGTTGACCCAAGGGAATAATTAACACTCCCATTGGTAACCAGAAAAGACATTAGAGATTGGAGCAGGCACACAGTGCCAGTACTAGCTTGTCCATTCTCTCTCCACATTCCTTTCTGGAAAGAAATGGGGGAGCCTTGGGAGGAATGAGGGGAATCAACAAAATGAGGTTAAATTTTATGGATCTAGGGAAAGTTTACAAAAAACAGAAATAGACTAGGCCTCCCTGGTGGCTCAAGGAGTTAAGTCTCAGTACTATGAAGCAATGACAGCCACTGCAGCATGAGTTCGATCCCCAGTCAGGGAAGTGACCCACAGGAGACCTCTCCTGTCTCATCTGCTTCTCCCCTTAGCAGTGTGTTTCAGTAGATCCACCAGTTGTGCTCCATGCTCTGTTTCTGGTGAATCCTGTCACTCCCTGTGCCTCTGGCCTGTACCCCAGCTCTTGTGTGCATAAATAAATAAATCGGCCACAATTCGAGCACCAAGCCACATAAAGTCACAGAATGCCTGAAACAGGGGCCCTCCAGCAGCTCACATTCAAGTAGAAAAGAGGGACCTAACACAGGCTGGCACTAACTAGACCACAGATTTCACATGCAGACACACTATGAAATGTAAAAACATTTCTGTTCCTAGATTTCTAGAGAAGAGAAAAGCCCACAATGGTGCTTTTGGCCATGGCTCTTAATTGTCAATGGTCATAGAGTGAAACCACTGGAAGATAAAGTCCACAATCGAAAAAAAAAAAAAAAAAGCTGTTTGCTTGCAAAGGAAACTGGAAAACAGCAAGAAGAATGGTTCTTTCTTAGCCCAGCAGAGTTGGGCATCTGCTGATCGGCTGTGAACATGTAACACCAACATTTTGGAACAGGCCTAACCTGGAGTAGGACCCTGGGAGGCTGAAAAGCAAACCCAGCCCAGCCCCCACAACTCACCCTTCTTCACAGTCACGGTGAGAGTGGCGGTGCTGCTCAGTCCCTGCTGATCTTTCACTGTTAAACGGAAGTGGTGGGTACCCACCTGCAAGCTGGTCGCCGTGGCGACAGCTTGGTGCACATTTTCCATCTCCACAGCACCGGGGCCTCTAGAAAATGGGAAAGAGATGAACAGAGCGCAGGAGTGGGATTCTGATTGTGGCAAATCGTTGATGGTGCCTTTCTACCTGATTGTTCTTACATTTAAAATCCATGGCCTCTAGAGAAATCCAAGATAACATATGTTGATTCAATCATGCAAATAGTATATATATATATATATATATATTGTATATATGTGTGTGTGTGTGTGTGGATATTTTTTCTCACTATATGTGTGTGTAAATATGCTATTTATTTTCATGTGTATAGTGTGTGTGTATATATAGATATGAAGTTACTATATATATAAAATGAGGAAAAATATCATCACATATATATACTATTTGCATGAGATTTTTTCTCACTATATATAAAGTATATATATACACACACACACACTATGTACACGATAGTATATAATGTATATATACTATATATAGTGTATACATATTTTATATATAATGAGAAAAAATCTCATGCAAATATGTAATGTATATATACTACACACATATAGTGTGTATATATATATTCACTATCGTGTATATAGTGTATATATACTATATATATATATATAGTGTGTGTATATATATATATATATATATACACACACACTATTTACATATATATGTATAGTGAAGAAAAAATCTCATCTTCACCTCCTCCAGGCACATGAGACACCCGTTCCCCCTCAGAAAAAAAAATGCTCACACAATTTGCTTGCTATACACCATTGTTGAGGTAGAGGAAAGTCAAGGCATACCAGCATTCACCCAAGAAAGCAAAGGTTACCATGGGGGCCTGGTGGTGAGGGAAATCAGCACACATTTCTGAGCCCTGGACACCACATCAGCCTCCCTGCTTGACCACATGGACAGTGTTATAAGGTCTTCTCCAGGCTGGATGTGACTTCTCCTTATGGGAGAAGAGGAAGTTGTTTCTTGTAAAAAAATGTCCTGAGTTCTCCTGTCCCCATGGCAAAGAAGAAAAAGGCGTGCATGCATGTCCACAAATCCATGTAACTGACTCCACGCACATAGTTAGGCTCCTCCCAGCCTGAGCCCCACAGCACCCCACCTGCCCCAGGGATCAGATCCTCAAGGATGTTCCTGCCTGAGGGGCAGCCTGCCAACTCATAGACTGCTAGAGGGGCAAGTGCTTCCATGGCCAGTCAGCGGCCTCCACTGCCCCAGGAGGCAGGGGGTTTGGGGGGGAGGTCTGAAGGGTTGCTCAGAACCTGAGCTGAAAGATGACTTTCCTCATTTATAGTATTTAGTTCTGTATAAGAACCATAAGCTAAAGTCTACTTCAGATAGAATCTGTTGGGCTCCTGGGAGCCTGAAAAACTCCCATCCCTTCTTTGATAAATTCACTGCCCCCCATAGTGAATTCTTCACCTATGGTAGGAGAATACAAAGGAGGAATGAGCAAGACCTGGTTTCTTAATTGGAGTGACAGGATGAACATTAATAGCGTGTGCTTTGTAGGGGCAGGACCCAGCTCTGTCTTTTAACAGATGGGCTATTGTGATCTCACTAGTCTCCACCAGCCTCAGCTGCTTCAGGTTTCAAGTAGGATTATTATTATTTACCTCTAAACAAATGTATAGGATTTTATGGGGTGAAGCCTGAAAAGCATAGAAAATGTTAAAGGATTGCAGGCATCCCCTTAAACTCTGCACTGCTGTGTCTCCAGTCACTGTACATGAGTTAAGTGAGTAGACAGGAGGCCTTGCTCATGTTTCCCTGTGGCTCTCTTGCCCTGAAGTGGACCTCACACCAGTCAGCCTGCGCACCTGCCTGGCCCCACCTCACTCTGCTGTCGAGGAATGTCCATCTTGTCCATCTGCACTTGACAGATTCAAGGGTTTAAAGCATAGCACTATGAAGCCATCCACATTCACTGCAGCATGAGTTCGATCCCCAGCCAAGTTGCTGACCCACATGGCACATTAGACCTCTCCTGTCTCACCTGATGCTCCCCTCTGGAGTGTATTTTGGTCCATCTACCTGTTGTTCCCCACTCTGCCTCTGATGAATCCTCTCACTTGCCCCCCACACCTGTGGCCTGAACCCCAGTTCTTGAATGCATAAATAAATCAATCTTAAAAAATATATAGAGCCCTGCCACTTCTAGAAACAAGCTTACATCTTTCAATCCTCCTCAAGGAGACTGTTTAATGTAGCCCTTGCAGAGAAGGGCCAATAGGTGCATTTAGCCACCGCATGAAGCCAGCAGCTCAGGCATAACACGGCCCACCTGATGTGTTCCCAGTAGTAGAAAACGACGCCATGGTCATCACTGCTCTGGCTCCCATCCAGGCGGGTGCTTTCCACGGGGAAGAACAGCTCCTGATCGGGGCCAGCCACTGCCACTGGGGGCCTGTTGTTTTCTGGAATTACATAGATGGCATGAAAAACTGTTCTCTTTGTCTAATCTCCTGTTTTCTCCATTCAAGCAAATGACTTATATTCAGATCAGGCAAGTACTCAGCTTGCAGCGTCCCTAGGGCATCCCGAGGCACTGCACTGTGGTCTCCTGGTTGACCTGGGAGTTAAATATTCTGAGTGTGAGAGTGAAGTGCAGAGAGCAAGAAACACTGTTCCCTGATATGTACAATGTTGGGGTCTTTAAAAGACCTTCAAAGTTGTGGAGTTAAGAGAGAAGGAGAGGAAAGAAGGGTTGAAGAAGGGCTGTGGGGAGAGATGTTGTGGCAGAGGGGAAAGGAGGCAGGGAAAGAGGAGGAAAGGGAGGTGGGGAAAGAAGGAGAGTGGGTGTCACTTCTGCTTTCACCTCTGGGGCCTTTTCCATCTCACCTACCAGGCCGAACGATCACCGTAACCAGAGCAGTGGACTGTTGCCTGGAAGAATCTGCCACCATCAGCTGAAACGTATACTTGCCTTCCCGCATGGCAGACACGTGGAGATAAGGTGTCTCCACTCCCTAAACAGCAACAAATACAGCCATGAAAAAGAAAAGAAATACTATTAAAAAGCACAAGTGGAAATAGCACAGTGAAGAACTAAAGATTTTACTTACTCTGGAGCTTTTCAAAAGGAAATATGAGTGTCCCCAGGAAAATGCCATTGAAGCCCACTGTGTATCTTGCTAGGCACACCTTTCACGTAACTTCTCAGTTTCCAAACTAGAGAAATGCCAGTGTGCTCAAGGAGACTCACACAAGGTGGGTGACTGAAGCATTGCCCCTGATAGCTCAGAATGACAACAATCTAAATGGCTCATCAACAGGAAAAGAACCAAATCCACCACTATTCACTATGAAAGGATCATTTAAAAGTTCGGGGTCCTTCCGTCCTTGGTAGCACAAAGGGCTAATGAGAAGCACTATGAAGCTATAGATAGCCACTGGAACATGAGATCCTGGCCAAGAAGCTGACCTACAAGATGCATCAGACCTCTCCTGTCTTTCCCACTGCTCCACTCAGCAGTGTATTTCAATCAATAGCCTGTTCTGCACCCCACTCTGTCTTTGGTGAATCCTCTCAACCCCCACACCTCTGGGCTATACCACAGTTCTTGTATGCATAAATAAATAAACCTTAAAAAATAAAAGCAAGTTTAAAAGAATAAAGAAGGCTCATAAGTAATAAAACATATTTAGTAATCAACAATATATTATGAAGCAACATGTTGAAAAATGCATCTAGTGTGAAAGATCATGTTGCGTGAATACAAATCTGTGCAGACACATAAAAGACGTGCAGGAAATACATAATGGGTAAAAGTAATTTTCTTCAATGAGGGGACTGGGTTGGGGTCAAGTTGTATTTTCAGTTTCTCAGAATTTATTTGAACTTTGTTTTTAACCACAAGAAGCAATTCACATATTACTCTTATAGTTAAAAATCACATTTTATACTCTAAAGAAAGATAATTTTTCAGTAAGACACTTTTTTTAAAGATTTGTTTATTTGTTTATGCATACGAACTGGGGTACAGGCCAGAGGTGCAGAGGTGGTGAGAGGGTTCACCAGAGACAGAGTGGGGAGCAGAACAGGCAGATCAATAAAGTACACTGCTGAGGGGAGTAGCAGGCAGGTCAAGAGAGGTCTGCCACGCCATGTGGGTCACCTCTGGGGCAGGGATTGAACTTTAGCTTCTTAGTGCTGTGCTTTCACCCGGGAGGGTCCAAGATGTGATTTTTTAATTTATTTTTTAACTGAGGCGATTTTGGGACATCTGCATCAAGTATTACCACCATAGCGCACCCACCACCAGCTCACCCATATCCCACCACTGAAGGAAGACCACTGTGCTTCCTTCCCTCTTTGTTCTTAACCCTCTTCTCCCTCCTCATCCTTGGTGTTTCAGTTCTTTACTCAGTTATCAAAGGCCAGATTTTAGCTTGTCTTTAGCTGACTGTGAATTTAGTTATTTTATCTTCCACATATTAGTGACATCATCCACACCCACATTTTTCTCCTTCTGGATTATTTCAAATGAGGTACCCTTTCAAGCTTCATTCATGTTGCCCCTAAATAGCATGAGTGTATCTTTTTGATTGCTAAGTAGTATTCCATTGTGTGTGTGTGTGTCCCCACTTGTCAGTTAATGGGGCCCTTATGATGTTTCTATAGTTTAGCCATAGTAAATAGCTTTACAATAAACATGGGAGCGCAAGTTTCCTTTCCAATTAGTGTTTTTGAATTTTTTGAATAGTTGCCTAGGAGTGGAATTAGTGGGTCAAGTGGTAGATCCATCCAGTGGATAGATGAATGGATGGATGGAAAGAATGATGGATGGATAAGTTAACAGATACATGGATGTCTGGATGGCTGGAAATATAGACAGCAATGTATATGACAAACAAAATGTGGGGACAGGATGAAGAACTTGCCTGCATGGCCATCTCTTTGCTCTCACTCCCGGGGCCCAGGGACCACTCATAGATAACAATCTGGTGATCATCACTGCTCTGGTTTCCATTCAAAGTGATGGAGTTTTGGGGCAAAGTTATGGTCTGATTTGGTCCTGCATTGGCTACTGGAGGCTGATCCACAGCACTGTTAACTCTGAGGTCTGCAACTGTGGAGTTGGTGGCTCCGTCGGTGTCTGTAACAGTCAACCTACAAGAAGGAAGGGAACTCATTACACAGCAGAAATCTGCCCACTGGCGAGCTGTCAATTTTGCTGCCTCTTTTGTAGTTCTCAGAACAACTTAGAAGAGATACAGGTAGAATTTTGAGGTTAAAGCTAAAAAAAGAACAGAGACTTGAGATATTTTTTTGCTATGTGTGTTGCTGTTGATTTATTTTATTTTTGCTAGTACTATATTCATATGAGGCAGTTTTATCTTAAGTAGAGTTCTGAATAAACTTTGAGATGTTGAATTAAGAATCTATTCTCAGTCAACACAGAGGCCTCTTTCTAACAATTGGAACTCAGAGTGTCTCTAGGTTAAGTCATGCGCTCAGGTCTGAACATGTGGAGACAGCAAATCACTAATGAAGTTTCAGCTATACTGCTTTTGATTTCTGGTTCTTTTCTAGAGGACTTCATATAACTATGTTTGTAGGACACTCCTTGCAAAGCAACATAGGTTAGATTATTTCTAACATTTCTCCTAGAACTAAGGATTAAGCACTTTCAAATATAAGTGGAAACTTCACCCATACAAAGAAACAACAAAGAGACCTGAATTGACCCTCTGGCTGATGTGATCATTGAATCACTAAGATAAAGTGATTCTTAATCCTCCTGGGGCAAAGAAGTTAGTTTGGAGATGAATGCTAAACATGTATAAGCAGGAATATGAGGATAAAGCTACAGAAAGGTCACAAGCGTCATTTGTGAGGACAAAAACGGTGCTATATCCTCTGAGCTTCCTTCCACACCATCCCACATGCTCCACACAACCAAGATTCAAACTTCAGTTCTGACCCTCATAGCAAACTCAACACTGAGGTTCTTCTTCCTCAACCACGTAGAGCCAGGACACATTCTGGGCCCCCCACTAAGTAATTTCTTCCTGCTACATCAGACAGTAAAGAAGAGTTAAATAAAATGGATTCAAAAGCACCTTCTACAGTGGCATTTTACTATGTCTGAATTCTATCCTAATAAATAAAGCACTATAAAAAGACTTCTAATTAAAATCTCTTTGAAATCCCTTTAGACTTTTGTGTCATGAAGTTCCCATAAATGTACCCTAGCAAAGTCCTCAGATAACGATTAGACAATAATTTGGTAACATGTACCAAAACGTCTAAAAAACATACGTGCTTCTCGTCTTAAAAACAAACATGCTTCTGATTCAAAAATTTCCTTGCACTCCAAAATTTAGTCATAAGGTTTTCACTCAGACATTGAATATAGGGGACTGAATTAAGACAGCATCAAACATGATGTGGCAGAATAGTTAATAGTATGGTAAGTGTGAAATCCCCAAAACATGCATAGATGGAAAATTGACAGAAAAGATTTGGCCTTGCAAATTAGGAAAGAGTAGGCTGGACAATAAATAATGCTGGGACAATTATTAATTATCCAAGTGGGAAAAATAAAATTATATCTAACCACAGTAGATACACAATTAATTCCACATAGATAAAAATTTAATTGTAAAAGGCAAGACTTAAAATTTAGAGAACATGGTAGCTTGCAAAAGCTCCTACACATTTTTTTTTTTAAAGATTTATTTATTTGTGCATGCAGAACTGGGGTGTAGGCCAGAGGCTCTCTGGTGACAGGCTTCACCAGAGACAGAGTGGAGAACAGAACAGGCAGATCGACAAAGTACACTGCTGAGGGGAGCAGCGGG